GACAACAAACACTCACTAAAAGTACTGGACTGAAAAATGACAACACTGGAACGATACAGACAACTGACTACAGACCAAGCTAGACTTAAACTATGGCAATTAGGCTAAGTAGAACTAAGTAGAATTAAGTAAAATTAAGTATTTCTGTGTTAATATAAGCAATTTAATCGCAAAGGTAAATACAACATTTCATAAAAAGTATTAAGTAAGTAAAGTCATCCACGTATATTAAAATAAGATATATGGTATTTAGGCGCAATACAATCGTTATCAAAGTAGATAACAGCGCACAATACAATCCATATGTTTGTAAATAAAAGGCAGAATTCTGAGCGTAGAAGAAGAGTTATGTACTATATATTTGTAAAGGGTAATTTAAATGTTTATTATGTGTTATACACTTGCATGCGTTAAAATAAAATACAAAAATATATAAATATATTTATGTTGCTGAGCGACAGAGAAGAAATGGACTAGTAGGAAACAGACAATAGCAAGCGCCAGCCACGAGATAACACTGCCGTTATCAGTACAAACATCTGTTCCATTCAAACCTCTACTTCCGCCCTATTTAAATAATCAAACCAAGCACTGATCAATCCTTCACATTGAAGGAACATATTAAAAACAATATTTATTTAAAAAATTAAGTTGTGCTAAGCCGTCGGTGGAATAAATAATTATTATTTAATACCTCTGTGCATAATTCTTGATAATTGGCACTAGAGGAGCTTCGAATGAATTTACACTTACAATAACACTATCATTCCTTACATCAACCAACAGACTTTCGAAACTCCATTCAACCATGAATAGCTGAAAGAGTGTATAATGTGTGTCACACTAGTTAATTAATTAATTATTAGTAAATCAACAGAAATTTAGTAATATATCTCCCAGTCAATCAAATCCATAGCATTTAAGTAGATAAACATTAGATTTTTTCCCTTTTATACTCAGTAAATTAAATTCTTTTTTTTAAATTAAGTAGAACAATTTCTTATTATTAGTAAATTCATTTAGATCATAAGTATCAATAGTAAACTTAAGTAGAGTAGTCGCGATCAATTTTTACCGAATATCCAGGGAATATATCAGTGATAACTAACATCAAAATAATTAATCATCAATCAAAACAATCTCCAAATTCACATCTGAGTAAACGTATCATCAACCTCATATCAACTTCAAAACCCAACGCATTTCATCCATCATTAAGAGGCGTCCAGCGATATAATTAGCGCCCCGAATTTAGTAAGGGCTCAAGAGCTAATTACGAAATTACGTCACATCACATCACAACAGTATACCTTCAAGAACTTCAGAACACTACTCCAGCTTCATTCATCAGTTTACACAACTTCATTCTTCATTCTTCATTCTTCCAACTACTCAACTTCAAGAAACTCATCAAACTTCAGCAACCTTCCATATTTACCAGCAATTACCAGCAATAACCAGACTTCAATACATCCATCTAATTTCATCAACCTTCAGTATTTCAACAACATTCCCAAATTCATCATCAATCATATATCCAACTTCATCAGCCAACAGATCTTCTCAACCCAACTTAATTAAATCTATCACTGATATACGCCCGCCCACATTTTTTAGAGCAGGTTTAGATTAAGCAATCCCACCAAACATAGTTATAAGAAATTCATTCAAAACCATAGTCACCTTTAGTTTAGAAAAAAAAAAATAGTTAATAGTTTATAAGCAAGACCGACACACATTATAACCTCAAATGAGTCAAACCAAAAGGAGTGCAGAAAACTGTTGGAACATTCCCACACCGACACCGATGTCACAACGACACAATCTCACGGCGAGCACAATAAAAAAAAAAAAAAAAAAAAAAAAAAAAAAAAAAAAATTTCTTCGTCCTTCATCTTTCCCAAACCCCAAAATCACCCCAAAACTAGGAAAAGAAAAAAAAACAACCCCACCGGGGGGAGGATGTAGCGGACCGCTACAATAGCGCAAGTCACGTGACCACGATGCGCGCGCAGTCGACCCGGGTAGGCACGCGCAGCGAACCAAGAGACGAGTACAGTGTAGTGTCGAGCGCCTGGAGCTGTACATCTGATCGGATAAGTAGACTGTAGCCTAAGATGTCTAGCTAATAGAAGTAGGGGTTGGGGAAGGGGTGTAGGTTGGGGCAAAAGGTAATTCAATCATGTAGTTTATTAGGTTCTCGAAGGGTCGTGGTCTGGCAATTAATATCGTAAATTAGAATTCACATTTGCTAAGTCTAGTAACCTTTTTCACGAATTAGAATAAGTCCATATATATATATTTCTCTGTTCATTATATTATAATTAGATACATTATGAACATAAAAGCTGGCTGTGATAGGCAGCTAAGGTAATATTGTGCACTTTGACGAGTTAGATTAATTCTTGCAATAGAGTTGGGTTACGACGGGAAATGTGCGTGATTTGGCAGTGGTTAGAGGAAGATATATAGGGCCCAGGTATCTTCATTTACACTCATACTACTCCACATCACCACAATCGGACCATGGGAACGGGGGTTTACGGGGGGTTTTATGGGGTAAAAATAGGTTTTTCCTATTTTTTACCCAAAAAACATAAAATTTAGCAATTTCTTTTCAAACCATTTTGTAGAGCTTAAAAAAACAAATAATTTACTATATTGAAGCGTTATTATGCGCCTAATGGTTACGGAGAAAATTCCAAAAAATTGTAAATTTAAAATTCCAATGTTATTCTTATGGAGAATAAGTAAACTGTTGTAGTTTACTTGTTTATGAATATATTTTGATCAAATTTGAAAAATATTTTTATTTTTTACTAACTATTAACATTTTACAAAAAAAGAACAGATTTACCCTCCCTGATGCAGCAAACCTAAGTACTTGTTAAACTAATTCTATTTAAATAGGGAATAAATGTTATATTTTTAAGTAGACATTTCAGTGTAAATCCAATCAGTCAAATGGAAATTCGCTTAGTCTGCAGGTTTGCTGCGGCGGGGGTATTTATCATTGTAGGGTTAATTTAGTTAATTGTGCTTTACTGTTTGGTTATATAACTAGGAGACGAGTTATTGTTTATGATTAGATAATTTTATTTGGTTAACGAGTTTTTAATTGACTGAAATAACATCTATAGATAAAACATACTGCTGTAGCACACCCTTCACAGTACACAAAATGCACTCCCCCATGCGATAACTAGCGGCCAATCACAACACCTGTGCGCTGACAGTTAATTGTCAACTTGTCCGCCACAGGCTGCATATTGTGTCCGGCGCTACACGATGTCCTCTCAATTACAACACGGACATGATCCCCGTGACAAGCCTGCCGATCACTTTTATTGCTGTCCAGTGCGAATCACCGCAGCTTCGGACGAAATTACCAATTGTCAAGTAATTACGGGTGATTTGACGTCCACATGTCACTCAGTGTGAAATCTAGTTTGATTGTAAAATTGGTGTTGTATAAATGAAGTGTTGATTAAAACGTTTGTTGCACGTACTTATGTGTATTTTATGTATTAGGGAAAATGGTGAGTAATGCGACAGACTATGATTCATGATAGTGAAGTCGTGAGTTCGAGTCACGGATTCTCCAATACTATTTGTCAGTACAGTTCATGCTTGGGCTGTATCAGTATCATACCGTTGTTCAAACCTTGATTTGCTTGACATGATCGGAAAAGTTAGGACGGGGAAGTTGGAGGTTTACAGATCTTCTAAAAAAGAAAAAGTAAATTATTTGTGTTCCCTCAAAATGTTTGAGGTCCTAATTGAACTGTATTTGAAAAAATATCTTCGCAATCCTCAACTATGTTGGTATTAATAGATGTCGTAAGAAGGATAAGTGCTTATCAAAAGAGAACCCAACTTCAAACCATGCGAATGTGAGTAATATGATGAAAAATGGCTCACCTGTCATAATCGTGCCGACAATAAAGCTTAGCGTCTCTGGTGAAACAAGTATGAGAAAGACGACATCCGCAGACACAACAGATGAGACATCTCTCGTGGTACAAGTTGTCAGTGACTCTCATGATGTAGCGGTCACAGATGATACAACAGCAGGCTCCACACACCGGTCCTCCTACTGTCTTGAGCTCTGACATCACCTAGTACAAGATACAACATTGTACATGTCACATCTCTCGTGGTACAAGTTGTCAGTGACTCTCATGATGTAGCGGTCACAGATGATACAACAGCAGGCTCCACACACCGGTCCTCCTACTGTCTTGAGCTCTGACATCACCTAGTACAAGATACAGCATTGTGCATGTCACATCTCTCGTGGTACAAGTTGTCAGTGACTCTCATGATGTAGCGGTCACAGATGATACAACAGCAGGCTCCACACACCGGTCCTCCTACTGTCTTGAGCTCTGACATCACCTAGTACAAGATACAACATTGTACATTACACACTCTCGTGGTACAAGTTGTCAGTGACTCTCATGATGTAGCGGTCACAGATGATACAACAGCAGGCTCCACACACCGGTCCTCCTACTGTCTTGAGCTCTGACATCACCTAGTACAAGATACAACATTGTACATGTCACATCTCTCGTGGTACAAGTTGTCAGTGACTCTCATGATGTAGCGGTCACAGATGATACAACAGCAGGCTCCACACACCGGTCCTCCTACTGTCTTGAGCTCTGACATCACCTAGTACAAGATACAACATTGTACATGTCACATCTCTCGTGGTACAAGTTGTCAGTGACTCTCATGATGTAGCGGTCACAGATGATACAACTGCAGGCTCCACACACCGGTCCTCCTACTGTCTTGAGCTCTGACATCACCTAGTACAAGATACAACATTGAACATGACACATCTCTCGTGGTACAAGTTGTCAGTGACTCTCATGATGTAGCGGTCACAGATGATACAACAGCAGGCCCACACACCGGTCCTCCTACTGTCTTGAGCTCTGACATCACCTAGTACAAGATACACCATTGTACATGTCACATCTCTCGTGGTACAAGTTGTCAGTGACTCTCATGATTTAGTGGTCACAGATGATACAACAGCAGGCTCCACACACCGGTCCTCCTACTGTCTTGAGCTCTGACATCACCTAGTACAAGATACAACATTGTACATGTCACATCTCTCGTGGTACAAGTTGTCAGTGACTCTCATGATTTAGTGGTCACAGATGATACAACAGCAGGCTCCACACACCGGTCCTCCTACTGGCTTGAGATCTGACAAATGCTGTCTTCCGTTATCTACAAGGTCTTTTCTTAAATGGTTCAGTCACTTAAGAGATGCAATATTTTTTATAATCATCTTAGCTAAAAGTACAATAATGTTTACTCACAAGACGCTCTAAATACATATAAAAGATGGTATAAGTGTTCGATTTCGATTGGACACTGCAATCATCTCCAGACCCAATCCTAGTTTTTTTAGAAACTTATTGGCCGGTACTTCCGAGAGCCAATAACAGTACAGAAATTAGAGCCAATAAAGGTGTTGTCAGTCGCCTATCGGGTCTGATGATGATTGGAGTGTCCAATCAAAATCGTTTACCATTTATCATCTATATCTGTATTTACTGTCTTGTGAGTAAACAGTATAAGTGTGAATATATTATTACAAATACATATTATTTGACATAGTTTGTACTTTCAGGTAACTTAATAACACGTACGATGATCAAGAAGTAACAGGACATACTGAATTTTCTATTGGCATACTGTACGTGATTTTTTTTTATGTTTACAGATGATAATAGTAAACTTCACTTAAATGTATGTTCAACTACTTCGCAACCTGTTTAACCTGTCATCTTAACTACTCTTATGAGAATCAATCCGGTGTAAATATTTGCAAATCCCCAGCCTCGGAGCGAGCAGCAGGGGTCGCGTTATTGACTTGTCTATCCAAGGAGGCCCGACATATGAAAGACAGACGGGGGTGGCACGGGGAGAATATGCAAATACACAGCGTTGTGCCGCTGTCGGCCAGCGGGGCGGGATTAGCGGGGCAGCACTAATCTTTTGATTCCTATTCCGAATTTCATTCCCGAGTTTAATGGTAAGTTGATGACTTCTGTGATCGCATTAAAATCGCCAATCGCATTAGAAGGGTTGATCAGAATGTACGGTCACGCGCGATGCAGGTGGCGGACATGTGTTGCTTTTACTTATGTGGTAAAGAGTTAAACGTGGTAATTGTTTTATTGTACAGAAAGCAAAGTGGTATAAAGTTTTGGAATAGTAATGCTAAATAGGTAATCTAGAAAAATTAATTTAACTAATAGACACACTTAAGACTTGGTCAAATAGGTATGTTTGCTGAAGATGATAATACATTGCATTTTTTTTTTTGTCATAGTGTTCATTGCATGGAGAATCGGTGCATCAAAATAATACAATGGGACTGTATCACGTATCCTGCGATTCGCGTCATCAAGTGCATTTGCTGTATCCTCCCCTTAATTACTGAAATAAATAGATGAAGTTCACTTAAGAATTAAACCTTGCACTTGTACCTCAGTTTCAATCCTGCAACATTAGAACGTGAAGTTTGTCTAGCGTCTAGTTTGATAATTCCACACAAACCTTGTTGTACATATTTTCCACTTACCAGAAGATGTTTAGTGTTGCCGATAGTTATCACAGAGCTTGACAATCCGGTTCAGCTCCAGTGGAGAAGCTGTAGTCCGTCTGAGGATACGGGCTGAATAACTCGCAACCCTGTAACATTCATATTCATATAATATCTATAGGAAATAGTTACACGACTAAACATGAACAATGTTTAACATAGTCGACACACTTAAGCGTTATCGCAAATGAAAATACCCCCGCCGCAGCAAACCTGCAGACTAAGCGAATTTCCATTTGACTGATTTGATTTACACTGAAATGTCTACTTAAAAATATAACATTTATTCCCGATTTAAATAGAATAAGTTTAACAAGTACTTAGGTTTGCTGCATCAGGGAGGTAAAACTGTTTTTTTTTTATGTTAATAGTTAGTAAGAAATAAAAACATTTTCCAAATTTGATCAAAATATGTTCATAAACAAGCAAACTACAACAGTTTACCTATTCTCCATAAGAATAACATGGGAATTTTAAATTTACAATTTTTTGGAATTTTCTCCGTAACCATTAGGCGCATAATAACGCTTCAATATACTAAATTATTTGTTTTTTTAAGCTCTACAAAATGGTTTGGAAATAAATTGCTAAATTTTATGTTTTTTGGGTCAAAAATGTTAAAAACCTATTTTTACCCCATAAAACCCCCCGTAAACCCCCGTTCCCATGGTCCGATCATGCTGGATCGCGAACTCGTTCGAATAAACGTAGGTTTACACGTTTGTACCAAATTTCATCATAATCGGATCATTTTTGCTCGAGTTATCGTGCTAACGGACACACACATATATATATATATAGGCCTATATATAAATATATAAATATATATATATATATGAATTTGAACGGATGGTGTTTTTGGCCTTTAGGGACCTCGAAATGAAAAAAAAAATCGGTCCCGCGTCCAGGTCTTACCATGAGTACTACGGTAATAGCTTATTCCCTATATGGGAAATTCGCTAAAACACTAAGATGGCCCAGATGTTTCAAAAGGACGAAAATTCTACTTGCATCATCCAACGTAAATGTTGATAGGTATTAGGGAAAATCTGAGTGAAAACTTAAGGAACTCATGAGCGTTATGTTTTTCTTCACAGGTGAAACCTATTTAGCTAAAATCGGATTTGCACAGTTCCTTTCTTAAATTTCAAAAACCCTTCTTGCCTAAATAATGATGTGTTATCTGTGTACTGTAACTGTACACAGGTTACAGTAAACTGCCTAATAATAATAGTAATGTTGTAATAGGTGTGGTTGTCTGTTATCTGTGCAGAGGTATCTGTCATATTACTATAATGGTTTCGTTTCAGATTGTACTTTACAATTATTACCAGGCCAAACCAGTTTCAAGAGAGATGTGGACAATTGTATAAACAGTTTGAACTTTATTGACAAAATCTAGACGTTTTACGGGGATATCAAATGGGGTTATTGATTGGTACTGAATCAGCTGACAGTTATAATTCAAACATTACACTTACACGATGCTTTTCCTACTTAGTGTGTAAATGATTAATGTTGAATGCTGTAAAATGTCGGTATCACTACTTTACACACACTCAAAAACTACATCCACCTTCTACACAGCTACTAAGTATAGGGAATTGATTAATTATTACAAACGTTAAATTCTCTACAATGTCGACATCCTACTACTTTACACACACTTCAAACACAACATTCACTTTACGCACCTACTCAGTACAGGGAATTGATTAATTACTAATGTAGAATGAAAGTAATTAATTACCAGACAATAGATGGGAGAGGCCGCCATATCGTCAGATGACAAGAGACTAACGCTCCTGTCTCTCTCTTATCTCTTATCTATTAGCTACCGGCCACTGATATGATAATCCGTACATCACTCGTGTCTGTGTGTGTGTGTGATAGCGGTGTCTTTACGTGGGCCAATCGTCTTTGCGCAACACTTAATCGTTAGGCGCCAAGTACAGCAGTTTTTTTTTAAATTTTAGTATTTGATTTGTTAAAGGTGATATAGAGCTTCAAATCCCCAATTGGTATACCATGCGTCCAATATGTTTTACACGTGCAATTGTTGATAAAATGAAAACTGTTGAAAGTTGACAGTATATTAAAATACCCCCGCCGCAGCAAACCTGCAGACTAAGCGAATTTCCATTAGCCTGATAGGATTTCACATTAAAATGCCTCCTTAAAAATATCATATTTATTCCCTATTTAAATAGAATTAGTTTAACGAGTACTTAGGTTTGCTGCAACAGGGAGAGTAAAAAGGTGGTTTTTTTATGTTAATAGTTTAGTAAGAAATAAATGTATTTTCCAAATTAGATCAAAATATGTTCATAAACAAGTAAACTACAACAGTTAACTTATTCTCCATAAGAATAACATAGGGATTTTAAATTTACAATTTTTTGGAATTTTCTCTGTAACCATTAGGCGCACAATAACGCTTCAATATACTAAATTATTTGTTTTTTTAAGCTTTACAAAATGGTTTGGAAATAAATTGTAAAATTTTGTGTTTTTAGGGTCAAAAATGGGAAAAACCTATTTTTACCCCATAAAACCCCCCATAAACCCCCGTTCCCATAGTCCGATCATGCTGGTTCGCGAACTCGATCGAATAAATGTAGGTTTACACGTTTGTACCAAATTTCATCGAAATCGGATCATTTTTGCTCGAGTTATCGTGCTGACGGACACATATATATATATATATATATATATATAAATATATATATATATATATATGAATTTGAACGGATGGTGTTTTTGGCCTCTAGGGACCTCAAAACAAAAAAATAAATCGGTCCCGGGTCCAGGTCTTACCATGAGTACTACGGTAATAGCTTATTCCCTATATGGGAAATTCGCTAATATACACATTCGCAACGTGTGAACCACATATATGAGTATGAAAATAGCAACCATGTGTATATATTGTGGACAAATAATCGAACTGTTTTGATTATTAGTTGCATAAATCGGCCATACAGGATGGTATGTCATATTATTTATATAAATTTGAAGGTTTTGCCTTCTTAATTTTCTTGGTGAAGTCTTTTCAACGTCAGAACCTCAATATGCCATAGGACAGAGTCCAGTAACAATATCGAAATGGGGATATGCCTAAATTAGTCCCAGATACATAGATTATTAACGTCATAGGGAAATTAGCCATGGAAATGATGTGGTTGAAATTGACGTGATGATTCTTTGTGGTTAACGTCAAAAATCGTCTATAAAAATGTGTATGTTATACGGACAAACATTTAGAACTTGAAGTCGGCTTGAACTATGGCTTCAAGGGACCCTAAAAATACAGCAATCCCGAACCTGTATCTCACTTAAAAGACTTCGGTAGTATCTACTTTTAATACGTGAGCGTGGAAGAAATAAACTACTTCCCTAATTCTTTCCTGCTGGGAAATTCTTGAAAACCCCGCGAGAAACAAACCTCCTGTAGAGACAAATAACACTTCGCCACAAAGGTTTAAATCACACTCGAAGGTGCGAATATCGAATATCGCATATCGCATTCCGCAACACCTGCAACTGATGGTTATATTCCCGACTCATCTCTGTACTTATCGATTACACATCCACACGGTTATGGCTGATTCACGGCGAGCAATATCCACAGAAAAATGTGTTAATTCCGTCGAAACAGAAATATGAGAGTCGCGAATGGAGGTTATCGTTTTCCAATGGCAATTAGACTCGACCACTCGCCTCTGTGTTATTGGCTTCTTGCGACACGCTGAGCTGCGAGGCGCTCCACAAATATTTTAAAGTACGGATTTGAATTTTTTACTATTTATGGTCGTGTTTCAGGTGAATTTATTATATTTATCTTGGAAATAATATGATACTTAATTTTTCGGGTAATACACAGCTAACATATTTATGTAGATTATCTTACCATAATGATTGATTGTATTTTCTTTATTGCGTGTAATACATTTTTGTACAAGGTTTATGCTAATTTTGACCAGTGTTACCTACATGATCTTATCTTACTAATCTTATAAATGTGAAAGTTTGTGTTTTTTTGTTTTTTTTTTGTGTTTTATTTATGTTTACAGTTCAATCACGCATGAACAACTTGTCATATTGGGCTGAAATTTGGTGTGATGATAGTTCACATTCCCAATTAACATATAGACATAAATGTTATCTCAAAAATACTTTTTGGCAGTGGCTCTGGAGTTTCCCATGTTAACCTTATGGGTATTCATATTTAAAAGGCTGAAATCAGAAACACCATCACACAATCCCTCAAATTACTAACAAAGCTATATGTTTAATCTTATTCAACATGGAGGGCGTTCATCTACTCGTCTGCAGCCCGCGTGCAGATAGCACTACGTACAGGTTATGCAGATGATTCATAGCAGAGAATGTTGCAATAATTTATGCCTCCAGCGTAACGATGTCAAAGGCCTAATGCGGTACGTAGCCTAATGAACCTGTGAAGTGTGAAATACATATCTCAAACCATCCCCCTTCTCCCCACCGTCAGCACACCTGCGTTAGATATGAACATGGAGAAGTACCCGCTGGTAGTGGTTTAAATTATAATTAACCTCTATGTCTTTCTTGTTTTTATTCCATGGTAAAATGATTTATCTCAAATGATTCTTAACATGGTAATGTTTAAATTAACATGTTTTGTTAAGGCAACGTTTGTATACTATAATGGTTACACAACAACTGAGGAAGACTTAACACCGGTAGTAGAGACTTGCGTTTGAAAAATTATCCTTTCAAATGTTAAGTTGTGTATTACTACGAATTATTAGTTCTTCAGTACAACTTTGTTGATTATTTTAAATTTTAAATACTGCTAAGTTGTGTGAACAATCAATAACAATTAAAACATTAAAAGTACCTAGGTGTTCAAAACGTTTAGGTAAAACTTCTTTACAAAAACCATAACTTTTAAAATTCAATAAATAATTTGTACACTTATTATATTAAAAGACAGTTGACTGGTTTAGGTGAACACAGAGTTAACCTATTTAAAATTTAAAAAGTTTAAAATGTCTAAACTATTCTATACCACAGTTAAGTTACAATTACATTCTAACGCGTAATATAAGAAAACCTGTATAACGTATATGCATTTTTTTATTTGGCTGCATTACCTTGTTTCTGAAAGTATCTATACAGTTCCTTATCTCAGCCTTATACGTTTCCTTCGAACAAGACGAATCCGTTGTCTTCCGTTCTAGTTTCACATTCAGCATCAACAATTCATTCGAAAGCTAATAGCAAAACCCATGAAGACTTTCTGGGCCAAAACAGCAAGGACAGGAATACACCAGGAAGTACAGGCTATATCTGAGGGGTTTAAAGGTGTCAACAGCCCATACAGTTTGTCCCTTAGGGACCCCTGGGCACACGAGACCCTATATAACCTTCCCCTAACATATGACCTTTGTGTCTCTACCCCCTGGCAACACAGGTACTCTGAAATTGCTTACTTCTGTAGACATGGAACTGACGCTAATATACCGTGGAGTGACTGAAATATCTTTAGACTTCTTTTATACTGAATTTATAATATGTTCTAGTTTTTGATTGTTCAGATGGATCAAAATGTTAAATAATTAATTTGATTTATTATTCAAGGGTGTAACAGGAGGGTGGTAAACTATGAAAAACCTCTGTTGGTGTTGGGAAAAAGTAGTTGAGAATAAGAAAAAATAAGAGAAATAGATCGAAGGACCAGCTTAGTTAATTAGACAAAGAAAAAATTTAAGTGAAGTAATTCAAAATCAATATCGCTGGGATTTGTTTCAGCTTAATATTTTACACAGCAAATCAATTGTGTAAAAAGAAGTAACTAACAAGAACAGTTTCAATTTATTGTACAATTTTCAGTTTCTGAGAGTAAATTAGTGAAATTGCATTAAACTTAATACTGAAACTCACCAATGCGCCTCAGAATGTCAATCATAATTTACAATTTTACTGATGGAGATGGAACACATGCCCTTGGTAGAGTAGTTCATAACTGGCTTCTTGAAGAGTGATTAAGTCCAAGTTCATTTACTGGCTTGTTGGTTGACATCACTTTAAAATGTCCTTTTGTTCATGCACAATTTAGTAATGCATTCATAATAATAATTGTATAAGATAGTTACAAGTAAAATGATTAATATTTAGCTGGAATCCCATGAAAATCGATTGTGGTTTTTAAAATAAAACTGAGAAGATATTATGTGTGGTGATTGTATTGAGGAGAGAAACACAATGTTTTTATAATAATCAAATGCATGATATAAATAAACATTAAATGAAATAGCTTATCAGCTGTCAGATAAATTGTATGGTATGGGAAAGTAGGATAGAAAATTGTAATTAGAAAAAAAGGAAATAAAAATTATAAATATATTAAGACCATTTTTGATCAAAAGTTTGGTAACGTGATGAACTAGTACGCACCAGTTGGGGAGTTTGAATATATTTGGTTAAGTTAACGTTAGACATTGGCTATGGAATATGGATATGCTATAAATTGGAAAATATAAGTTCCATTTTCCATGTTTAATTTGTAGCCAGGTTGGAAAAAAATTTAGTTTAAGTAATCTACCAACAGAATGCTCTGTTAAACACAGTTTGATTGTATATACCCCAAATTTTCAGTTACAAATAACTAAATTGTTAGCTTATCGAAAACCAGTTTTAATCAATTATGAAAGTAAGATATAACTCACATGAAATAGAACTTTAATAGCAGATTGCATTACACGGTCATTCAATTAACTACAGTTTGTTATCTTGGAGAAAAAATATCAATAAATAGAAGCGGTTACTTTGGAATCCAAAGTTAACGGTAAATCCAAGCTTCGTGATAAAAAACTTTAAT